TGACGAGCCAACGCTTTAACCATTAGGCTACCCCACCGCCCTGTAAATAAAAGAGTCCGGACCTGACAATCCATTGATCACCATTATGAGCATGGATCTACGTAACTGGGATACGATGACATGTGTCAACCAAGTCTTACCACAAACATGGGTTGCTGAAGACCAATTCCTACCCGGATTTTCACTGGTCAATACATGAATGGACGCAACACTTCTTCAATTTTGATTAACATCCTTAATTTTGCATTTCATTGGGGATCAGCGAGCAGTTTTGGTTATATAATTGCTTAGCTATTCTTATACACGTCCGAGTGTGGCCGCGGCAACATATTCTTAAAAAGTTTTAAATTGACAAAAATAAGAAAACTTGTATCCGACCCTCACCCTTCGTTCGAAGAAGGTCACTTTCCTTTCATGGGGATATCAGCCTGGCTGATTGCAATGATTTGGATGGCGCATTGCTCGCTTCTAAATTTGGTATGACTTTTTCTGTTTTTAAATAATAATGTAATCAAATTATATGTCTTTTATCATGTACTTTGTACTTGGAATGCTTATGAATGAATACTTGATCTCGTCGCTATATGGCTGAAATAATGCCGATGCGACGTAAAACCCAACTCAACTCACAACGCAATTATTTGGAGAGGAGTTACGAATTTGTGGGCATCGATACACTAACGATAAATGCTTCCGCCACCTGAGGGCTTGATAATCCTATTTATTTTCCTTAATTCGTCCGAGGTGAGATAGTTGCTTGTCCGTTTTTTCCAGATCTGAGCGGTTTCAAATGCGATTGTATATGATATGTTTTGTGTGCCAGTAGATCAATCTTATCCAGTATGATGACTCAAAATGGAAAAACGGTCAATGTTGAATTGAAACGCACATGGTATTTTTTACAAGACGGTGTTAATCCAGTCAGAAACCTAGTCTATCGATACATATAATCTAAACCCTGCTGCTTGTCAAAGATAATCTTTAAATATGTTCTTGGGGCTTCATTTAACATAAAGACAAGAAACATTTTTTGTCACGTGGAAAATAATGTTTGTGTTCTGTGAAAAGAAATTGCGTTGTCCTATCTGTATAAAAAAATATTGACTCCCTCGAGATTTTTTAATGGCGGATCATCAAGGTTGTATTTTGCTGTTGTTTAACTCAATCACTCATTCCAGGTTTTATTATAAAAAACCCAACCCAGAACAAAATATGGAAAAGGTATAACTAATGGGTATTCTTCAGATCTTATGACATTTTGGTACATTAACGGACCATGGCTGGAGACTTTGACGGTTAGCTGATAGTCGAGTCACAGGAAAGAGCAAGTCCCTATGGAGGTTGTTGCAATTATTGCTTCTACACCACACGCTACTCCTGTAAGTGCTCCCGCGACACTGAGCTGAGATCCAAATGTCATATCTGCACAGTGTCTCCTCCATATATACGCTGCTATCACGTTGTACATTACCCTATCTTGTACATTATTGATGACACAAGACACTTGTCCCATCTGCCTTGACGGGGAGTCTCCGGTTGCTGTCCACCGATATGGACTAAGGCCTGGTGTCGGTTCATACTTATAGATTCTGTGTTTTCTGTGAGTGACCGGGTCGAACCGCCGTGGTGTAGTGGTTAGAGCGTCCGCCCGGAGAGCGTAAGTTCGCGGGTTCGATCACGGCCGGGTCATACCAAAAGACGTTAAAATATGGTACTTGTTGGTCCCTGCCTGGCGCTCGGCATTAATGGGTACAGCAAGGACTGGTCGGCTCGGAGTCAGTATGATATGTCTGAGTGGGGTATTCATGCTTCACTGCGGCATGGTATCTCCGTGAGCTAGCACTATAAAAGCACATACACATACATGCACGTCGTCATATGAGCGAAATAATCTTGAGCACGACGTTAAACCCCATTTCACCTCAACACTTGTGACCGGGTTGGTGTATCGAGGCCTCGAAGCGTATTTCAGCTGTGGCACAACGAGTAGACTTTACAGCCATAAGCAGATCTTTTACCACTTTGGTGAAACCAACGATCTTGGAAAGGATGCCGACAAAACAACGGGACATTCAACAAAACAACGGGACATTCATTGCAAAATTACTGGGTGAGTGAGTGAATTCAGTTTTACGCCGCAATCAGTAATATTCCAGCGGTCTGTAATAAACGAGTCCGGAGCTGACAATCCAGTGATGAACAGCATGAACATCGATCTACGCAATTGGGATACGATTACATGTGTCAACCAAGTCAGCGCGCTTGACACCCGATCCCGTTACTCGCCTCTTACGACAAACATGGGTTACTGAAGATCAATTCTAACCGGATCTTCGCGGGTCTGTTAGATTGCTGGCAAACGAATCTATTTGTGTAATGTTGAATGACTTATGTTTGAAACAGGTAACTAAGGCCGAGGTGTTCATAGCCGTTTGAAATACACAATTTGATTTCAAGAAGGTTTGTCCCTGTCTGAAACATAGTTTTTGCATCTGTGACATGTAAAACCATGATCACAACTGATGCTTTTCAGACATTGGAACCGGAAGGTAGGGACATGGATAACCTCAATTTTTAAATAGATCAGATCAGTTGATGACTATTGAGTAGTAGTGTCAAGTGTTCAGTACCGGACAGGTTTGCTTGAGAACAGCTCTCTATAAAGATGGATATGGACCTGAGAATTGCAACCTCAGTTGTCTTGCAACATCCAGAAATGTTGCTGTATAGACTACGTGTTTAACACATAAACCTATCTTTATACCTGATAACGCCTGACGGATATAACAACGCTACACATCACAATAATATGTAATATCAGAGATGGAGTTTTCTGAATTATTGTTCTAAATGACACTGCATTCTTGCTCCTGCCTTAAGCCAGGTATTCAGTATGGTGTATCTTGTATTGAAACGAATAGACAACCCTGTTTAGGGTTGTTCTCGATCTGAACTTGTAGAGGAGTATCCAGTATGATATCCTTCAACATCGCGTCATCGCACTAAGCTCTGCACTGTAAGTCCCCATGGACCCTAGTATGGTGATCTACCTTCAGTTGTTGGCAATATATAGCCTGTTTTACCTTGTATTGTCATCTATAGTTAAACTGTTTTAGATTAAATTACTAGTTTTAAATTCGAATCTGTGATAATCTAGTTATTTTACTGTCCTTCGTTGACAGGTGTTTACGATTTACCATTAATTACTATGTATAAAATTAATTGTTCTCGTCACGATATGGCTGAAATATTGCCGTTGTGACGATAAATTTTAACTTACTCACTCACTAAGCTGTGATCAATATTGTCACTAAACATAGCACATGTAGTTAAGTCAGAAATACTTCCATTAGAATTTGTCGATACATGTATACACATACATACATACATACATACATACATACATACATACATACATACATACATACATACATACATACATACATACATACATACATACATACATACATACATACATACATACATACATACATACATACATACATATACATACATACATACATACATACATACATATGTATATATATTCCGCTGGACGAAATGTGGTGTTTTGATTAGGCAGGGCTCTATGTGCGTTTTTACGTCTAACGGAATGCCCTTCGTCGGATCATAAAGACAGGTTATTCTCTTGTATTGGCGTTGTATATTTACAATGTCTGAGCCGTTAGTAATAACCATCGTATATATTGGCAGCGAGTAGATAAAAGGTCAAGGGTTGAACTTGTGTCAAATATTCAACGAATCTCACGAAGTTTTAATGTTTATTTTTGTACGTTCATGATGCGCTTACTTTCAAACAAACACTTTCAGACAAAAACATGGCGTTATGACCTTGGTGACATTATAACAACGGGCATTAAATCAGGGCATTGAAGAGAACGATACAATCTCCCAAGGGTTGTTCGCTTGGATGGCCAACTTCATGAAGATGAAGATATCACCGTGCGTTTGTTGTCCGTTGGTATCACATACGAAAAACGATCCAGTACCAGAGCATCCTGGAGTGATATGTGCCGTCTTGTACAGGTGACGTTAAATAAGAAGCAAAGTCCGTGGTACAAATGACATACGGCCTCCAGAATATCCGTTGTCAGTGCTGTAGCTGTGGACGTCCCTGGGGCCGACTTGATAGTTGATATACACAGAGGACTGCTTCGATCTAATTTTACTGCTCATTACGATGAAAGCAATAATTGTTGAAAGTCTTTACATATATAAATGTATTTTAAGAAAAGCTATTGTTCGTAAAGCCAAAGATGCTTGTAAAGTTGCATGCCAATACAACTAAAATCAAGCACATCTATACAAATATATACATACAGGCCTTAAGCACCGACTTTGAATACGTTCAACACTGATAGGAGGGCAAATGTCTCTGTTCTGGTTACAGGATTGGCATGTTGGCAGATAAAGTACATTCCAGTACAATGGCCAATTGTACAATCAGCTGACCTTGAAACACCTCTGCCCAGAAACGTACTATTTAAATGCTAGAGTTGTCACTATATTTGTTGTGTGCTTACATTGTTGCAGTTGTTCTTTAACGAAGCACTCAGAAATATTCCAGGTATTTGAAAATAATCGAGCCTGTACCAGACAACCCAGTGATTAACATCATGAGCGTCGACCTGCATATTAGGGAATTCGAAAAGGCGACAAGCATGAACCAAGTCAGCGATCCTGACCAACCGATTCCGGCATTCGCTTCGTACAACCAGCACGGGTTGCTGAAGATCAATTCTGACCCGGATCTTCACACTGTTGTGTGCATACATACTTTTGTTTTGTATACCGTTGAACAACCGGGATGCAGGTGTGGCCATTTTACCACAGAGGGATCGAGTTTGACAGCATAAGTTCAATGACGACTTACCTTAAAATATAGTCGTACATGAACTGCGCACAGTCTAGCACACGTTTTGTCTTGTAATCTCTAGTGTCCGACCAATCCAAGATATAGCGTAAAACTGACTGTCAGAAGAGAGATTTCCATGTGAGTAGAACACGTTTGTTTCTCTTAGTCTGGTTTCAGCAATATGCCAGTCACAATATCGTGGGTTAACATGGATTGATTCAACAAATTTACAAAACACCAACCATGCTGATAATGAGAGATTGAACATTGAGTTTTTTATTGAACCGTCCGGGATATTCTTTTCCTCCTCAACAATTAATGTGAACTTACTTTCATTTGTACTGTTCATCGTGTTTGATTATGCAGAACATGTCTTTCTTCCTCTTCACAGAACTGTAAGTCCCCATGGTCACTAGTATGGTGATCTTTCTTCAGTTGTTGGTGATCAATAGCCAAATTATACATTGTATTGTCCAAAATAGTGTTTTTATCTTTAAAGATATATGCAAGCTTGTTTTACTATAGTCTAGTTGTTTTGTTGTCCCTTGCAGACATATTTTATTATTCCATTTTATTTCTTATCAATGCAGAAATTGTTTCAGTCAAGATATGGCTGAAATACTGCCGATGTGATTAGAAATCAAACCTCACTCACTCACTCACACTGTCTATTCACTGCGCTTCGCACCTAGTACCCTGCTGAAACGGGGTGTTATATATTTCTAGGAGTTATATATTTCTTGTTGTTATTGATAGATAATTTGCTTCGGTCGATGTTTTCCTATTTCATCGTCTTTATGAGTGAGTGAGTTAAGATTTAAAGTCACATCGCCAATATTTCAGCCATATCTTGACTAAAACTAGTTCCAAATTTATAATACATACATATAATATATAAAAACCCTGTCAACGAAGGACAGTAAAACCACTATATTATCACAGTTTGAGTTGAAGCTAGCTAGCATATATCTTAAAAAGTAGACAATTATTTCTGGACAATACAATGTAAAATTGGGCTATAGATCGCCAACAACTGAAGGTAGATCACCATACTAGGGACCATGGGGACAAACAGTACTTTTGCTACCTGCATTCATCGTCTTTATGAAAGGTTGAAGGCTACTTTCCTATGTATCAGTGTCATCAGCATGTTGTATTTCAAGTTACACAATCTTTCTTTTAGGATATATTTCTTTTGGATGTGGAAAAGGGTTTGTTTGCTTGAGAAACGTAACGTCAGATGTGAAAATCATGTCGGAAAAAGTATTTCTATGTCACAAATAATTTCAGCTTGTGTTGAGGAGAAAATGCGTGGTACATACAGTCATGTTTTCTACTTAAAATAGACTTTTATCTTACACATAGATATGTACTTCGTGATTCAAACTCGGCTGTCCCATGAACTCCCTGACCTTTTCATGAGAGTATGTCAGTAATCCCGATATGCGCAAAATACATATAAACTCACTTCAAAAAGTATGGGGTGGTGGGGTAGCCTAGTGGTTAAAGCGTTCGTTCGTCACGCCGAAGATCCGGGTTCGATTCCCCACATGAGTACAATGTTTGAAGCCCATTTCTGGTGTTCCCCCGCCGTGATATTGCTGGAATATTCTTAATAGCGGCGTAATACTAAACTCACTCACTTCACTACTTTCTAAAAATACATGAGAGTGGTGAATTATTGTGTAAAAGTGGTGTCAAAATGGTCCCGCAATTCGCTGTGCAGACTTGAATCCAAACTTCTGATCGAGTGTGGTCATTGGACTGTTGGACCTACACCTGAGGTTGTGATTGGACTAAACTAAAGGACTTTTACGACCTGTGTCACCTCGGTGTTTGCCCTGATTGACTGGAATGTTGTGATCGCATAAACTCAGTATATCCATATCATGAAAAATTCTTAGATGTGCACTTTGTGATTTAGAGCTGATAACTGTTTTCAGTTTTTCAGTTATCGCAATATGTCAAAAATATATGCAAAGCTGACAGCCTGAACTCGACGAGGGAAGCTGTACCCCTTTGTTTAACACATTCAGTTGTAACTGATTCGCCTACAGTGCTAATTATGAAATATTTTAGCAATAAAGGGTTTAAGTGCACCGCAATTTGCTTTGAAGAGTTACATCCCCTACCAGTGCCAGGATCAGTTGATCGACGGTTTATCCAAATGTGGCCAGGATTATGATCTTGGACTCGCACTGTACGTACTGCACATGTGCCAGTGATTGCACCATCTAACTATCTCATGAATGATCTTCAAGCAGTATATATTGAAATTTCATGAATTCAGAAATCGACGTCATGATGTGGAAGATTGCCATCATTACCTGCATTGTCGGCCTGATGACTTCAGCTGTAGCAACGCCGAAGAAAGGAACAGCTTTCACCATGAAGAACCCCACCTGTAACGACACGCAGACTCTGTCAGACATTAGCTGGTGGTATGTGTGCTGGAATGTACTGTGTTTTACTTTTCGTATCTAAGACGTAGCAAATATCCGCCTTACCTCGTGATTGAGTGAGTTAATATTTATCGTCACATCGGCAATATTAAAAGTGATACTATAATGCAAGCGACCAAAAGAATTACGCTTAAACAATTGATAGCTATCGTGTGCTAACTGATCTCACTATGCCCACCCCTCCACACTAGGTACAGCTGGGGTACCCAGGACAACAAGCTCCATGAGATGGGCTGCCCAGCCAGAGGAGAGTTTGTACCCATGTTCTGGGGAGGAGGTCATATCGACAATGTCAACCTGCCCAGTTCATCGCGACATGTCCTTGGCTTCAACGAACCCAACGAGAGACATCAGTCCCACATGACGCCCCAAGCAGCTGCCATCCACTGGCGTCAGTTGGAGTCTGTGGCCAAAGGCAAATCGCTCATCAGCCCTGCTCCAGCCCGTTGTAAGGTCCATGGCAACAACTCCAATTGTCTCATGGAGACATTTGAATGGCTGGACGAGTTTTTCAAAGAGTGTTCTGGCTGTAAAGTCGACTATGTTGCCGTTCACAGCTACACCTGCGGCGCCGACAACGACCTGCGGTTCCTGGAGACCGTCCACAATCGTTACAAGAAACAGGTCTGGTTGACGGAGTTTGCTTGCCCCTACACTACTTCTCTCACCCATGTTGAGAATTACATGAAAAGAATCATACCAAGATTAGAGCGTGCTCCCTTCGTGGTTCGCTATGCTTGGTTTGGGAACCGTGTCATCCATGACGGTTCTTTTATCCACAAAGTCAATGCTTTGCATGAAGACAGTTCTTCGAAGCTGACGGCGCTGGGAAGGTTGTATAACAGTCTTCACTAAAACCGTTTGAAATGGTTGTATTGTACTGCTGTTCAGATATTTGATTTAAAACGCTTGAACGTTTTCATTAAATAATTGCAATGATAACTGAAGAATCTTATGTCGGGAATACACAGTCGAATGTTGGCTTCTCATTTACTAGACCTGTCTATCATCAGCCGCCTTCAAATTCCTACTGGTCCCGACCCAAACTTAATTCGTTCTCATTGAATTGTAACACTGAATCTTTAGACAAATGTTAAGACAAAAATGAACAATCTTTATGGATAATAAGTTATTTCATTTCCTGAGTGCGACGTTTCGATACAGATTCTTGTACCGTTGTCAAGCAGGAATCTGTATCGAAACGTCGCAATAAAAGAAGTTGTTGTCCATAACGTTTGTTCTGTTCTGCTTCTCAACTCCTAATATGCCACTCAAGAAAATGTTAAGAATGTTCTCAAGCTTATGAGAACTGGCGAAAATAGGTATCGGTTGGTCACTGAGTGGGTTTTAACGCCGGTGTAGTCACAGTATACCAGTTATATCAGAGCCAGGTTAGTGTCGGAGGTATGCCGGAAATGAAGCAGTTATACTACTTTGGTGAATCCATTTAGCACAAGCATGGTGCTGAAGAATCTAGAAACATGATCAGGGCAAACCAGGATTCGAACCAATGACATGGGTTTCTGGCGTACCCAGGAAATAGAACTCAACACAGCGTCTTACGGAGCTCAAGACAGCTGCGCCTATACTATATGTCTTCTTTGTCTAATTGCTATGCTATCAGCAGCAGTGGTAAAAAGAGCACTTAAGCGTCAGTTTAAGTGAAACTGACAGGATTGATCATTAATATTAAATAATATGACTGTATCAAGTGAGTTTCCCACCTATGATTATACTGCATTCCACTGTGCATATATGGCTGGAATATTGCTGAGTGCGGCGTAAAACAAAACGCACTCACTCATTGTGTAGAAACCATTTCTATATAAAAAAAATAGGAACATATGAACACATATTAGAAATTGTTTGGCAACGTGGAATCCTTTTTGACATTATATTTGTATGAGTGGCCGAAGGCCGACAGTATAACATTTATACAGTAATAGTAATCATTTTGTAAGTGAAAAACCGTGACATATGATTTCAGTTTGAACGCGTGTACAAAATGATAATGATAGTTCTATTTCAATATTCTTGTATCCTTTGCGATACCTATGTTTCGTATGTTTCAATAATACATTTCTTAATCACATCGTCACTTCAGGGTCGAGTCGAACATTAAACATTTCATGAGCTGGCCCTTTGACAAATTATTGTTTCTTAAACTAGTATATTCAGGGCATAATTATGAAGATAAAAGTATTTTTCGTCAATATGTTCAGAATATAAACACAGTCATTTGTCCTACTGGTTAGACATTTAACTCGATTTGCGAGAAGATGCAGAGCTGCATTAGAATGATATGTCATATATAACAAGGTCAGGCGCATTGACTTGTGGAAAACCTGCACGCCAGATGATCTGACACCTCACCATACATCGAGTAAGGAGTAAACGCTACAAACAGTGTGTACAATCTATCGAAAGATACGGCCACTCAAGTAAGAAACTGACATTTTATTTCATAAGGGTCGTCCCCATGGTTCCTAGTATTATGATCTACCTTCAGTTGTTGGCGATCTATAGCCCGTGTTTTATACTGTATTGACTTCTATAATTGGAATGTTTTAGCTTTGCTCGCTAGTTTTATATTTATAGCTGTGATTCTCTAGTGTTTTTACTGTCCATCGTTGACAGGTTGTAATCTTCAAAGTATTTTCACTATTTATTGTATAAATTGTTTTCGTCACGATATGGCTGAGATATTGCCGATGTGACGTTAAATATTAAATCACTTACTCATAAGGGTCGTAAAAACCAATTTCACCTCACCTCACGTAAAAACACTCCCAAAACTTGCCACGATTGTGGACCTATTGGTCCTTGTGTGTCATCGGGGTAATTAGTTTTTTCCGAGACTGATGATTTGTTTTACTTCGGTCTTCTTTGTTTAGAATACAGCCATGCATCTTTTTATAATCTTGAAAACGTTCATTGGTTGTGTCATGCATGAACTGAGGAAATGGAAACTAGCCACATGGACTTTTTCTTCAATTTTATGATTACTATTATGATTAACTATTTGAGTTTGAAATGTCACAAACTGAGATCATCCTCTCTACTGTCAATTACTAGTACTAACAGTTGAAAGGAAAGCCGTCTTTGATGCAAACGCCCATGTGTTCAGGGGGATTAAAATGCTTACACTAGAGTCGGATTGATTATATTTCCCAAATTGTGAGTGTAGTCATTAGTGAGTGTAGTCATTCTGGTCAATCATGTCCTGATTTGCCTCCTCGCATTAATAAATGCACGCATTTTCGTTTTGAGGTTTGCACTCGCATTATTTAATACACGCATTTGTTTGTTGATTTACAGTATATGACCAAGGATTATAGCTTACTTTATGATTATATCAAAAGAGCATCAAATCAACTGTGCCTAATTCTATTATTAAGTTCAGATAATATTTGTTTTTGTTACATCTTACAAAATAATCAAAGAACATCAATTCAACTGAGCTTTGGCTGCTTCACGGGGGTTGTCTTTGTTCTGTTTAAAAAGACTTGATTATCCTTTTCCAGGATCCATAAAAAACGGTGCAACTGCGTAGCGGATCTAAACAAGATGTGCACGCCGTTTCGTTTATAAAAAGTATATTGAAGTCGAGTTTAATTCATTCTAAGACTACAAAACAACTTCACAGACTGAGTATTTAATCACATGTAATCACTAACATAAATCAGTGACAACGTCCAATTTTGCAACAAGACCCAGCCAATATAATTACGCTTCATGCTGTTGAAAAGAAAATTGTCTGCAACAATAATTACATGGTGTCTCTTTAGACAAAAAAAGACATTTGGTTAAAAACAGATGACAGAATACACATTTCCTCACCACACGGTTTCATTTGCTGGCGCCATATGTAGGGGCTTGTGGTTTAATGTTAGCGACGAGACCAAGTTTACACATACACACAAATCCATACTTACACAAAGTCACTCTCAAAGCATGTTGTCATAGTATACTGAGAGGCAATGAAAAACGCAATTCCATTTTCAAAGCTCATCTGTAATAAGATAAGAAAATGCTTGGTATGTTAGCAAAGTCCAATCACAGTAGAGAATTTCTGACCAAACCAGTGTTCATTATCATCAGTTTCAACACATTTACACGTGACAGACTGAGCAGACTACCTGATGTGTCTACCTTGCGCACGAACACAAGCTTGCAAACGGCTTGATGAACTAATTCGGAGTAGCGTTCCAGTGATTCTGCAGTGCCCGTTTGAGCTCAGCAACATTGCGGGGGTGGTATCTGCTGATGTCTCACATGCCTACCAAGTTCCTCCCACAGGTGCTCTATTGGATTCATGTCTGGTGACCTGGAGGGCCACTGCTTGACTTCCACTTTGTTGTTCCTAAGGAAATTCCGTGTCAGGATGGCTGTGTGTGGCCGAGTATTGTCATGCTGAAAGACTAGTCAGTTACCACCACGCTGTCTCAAGAGAGGAAGAAGAACTGCCTGGAGAACAGTCTCGATGCAACGCCACGCCTTCAAGTCTTGGACAATAACAAGCTGTAACGAAAATGAGCATTTGTGGCACCCCAAACCCCTGCTCCTCCTCCACCGAAACGATCTCTCTCAATAACACTTGGTCGCACAAAACGTTCACCTTGACTCCGATGAACACGTTGGCGTCCATGTGGGAAAGAGACGTTAAAGCGAGACTCATCAGAATGATGCTGAGTTAAGATCTGACCTTGGTAAGGTCTATGTGCCCGTAATCCTGCTGCAGCCAGACGTCGACGCACGGTTCGGCTGCTGATAGATCTCCCTCTGGTTTCAATAGTGTTGTTGGCAGTCTGTGCAGCTGTCTGGAATCGATCTCGGAGGTGTTGCTCGACGATGTAGCGGTCCTGATGTGCCCTGGTCACACGTTGAACACCTGGGCGTGGCCGGTCCTCCAGCCTGCCAGTGACTTGGTAGCTCCTTATGAGACGACTAACAGTTGATTGATGCACGTTAAAATGCTGTGCGACGTCAGTCTGGGAAGTCTCTGATCTTGCGTTAACCGTGGCATGGTTCATATTGGTTCAATGTCAACTCACGCTGTGTGTTTATAGGGGACAATCATGGACTGTTTGCATGCAGTATCAAAATGCATGTCGTGCACGTGCATGGCAGACTGCCACGTAAAGATGTGTTCTGGCGTTTTGCTCATGACGTTGTGCACAGAACCCTACCTATCTTTACACACAATGGCATTATATTACATTATCATGCTAAGGTATGTTTTTCATTAACTAATAACTTTTTTCTTCTTATGGGACTATTACACGATAGAAACTGCTGATTGCCTTTTCATTGCCTCTCGGTAATACATTCTAACATCACAATATCATTTGAACAGGGGCTGTAACAATATTATATCAGCTTATATGACACGATATTACAAGGAGTGTTATTGGATCACTTTCTGCCTGACACCAACGTCACAATTTAGACATACAGACAAATGGTAGAGACACGATATCACAGCCATAATTGTCAAACGTATGAATGTTCAAAGAAGTTGTCATAAAAAGGGAATGTGATTACTTGCCATTGATTTTGTGACCAAGCATTTTAGCACTTTCAGACTGAACCATGATTGGAGCATGTCTGCTGAGTTATTCACCACAAATGAGAGACCTTGGAATCGATGCTTGCTTCTTCATCTTCCTAATGTGGTGGTGGAATTGGGTTTAACGTCGTGCTTGAGAATAATTCGCTCATATGACGACGTACATGCGTGTGTATGTGTATGTGCGCCTGCTTGTACTACGCCAGACTGAAGCTGGTTTTATAGTGCTAGCCCACTGAGATACCATGCCGCAATGAAGCAAGAATACCCCACTCGGACACATTATACTGACTCCGAGCCGACCAGTCCTTGTTGTACCCATTAATGCCGAGCGCCAGACAGGGACCAACAAGTACCATATTTTAACGTCTTT